GATTGGGTCTGAAAAAGCTAGTCTCTTCTACATCACAGGGAACATTATTATTCATGGCCCCGCCCACCCTGGCTTCGCCACAGGAAGGAGAGAGCAGAGTGCATCTTGGTTAGTAGAAGCTAACTGTTAGCATTAGAAACTCAACATGGTGGAAAATGGGTTGTAGACTTAAAACATCAACGTTGCATTTTTCTTACCCAAGAAAGCCTGAAGGCAGCAGAGGAGTTGTGGAGCTGTTCGACTATCAGATGGTTCACATTTACAAACATATATGGGTATGGGTATGGGTAACAGACACCCACCCACCCACCCCACCTCCCCCATCCAGTCCTCAGCCAAGGGTCAGAGCAGCCAGTAGGCCAGCTCCGTCTGACTGGCCCATTACATTTCACATTCTTGTTACTGAGTAAAACACTTTGAACATCAGAGGGCTGAAAACAGAATATTTACGGTCGATAGTGACTCCAGTCTCTGGTTTGTGGTTCTGAGTAGACATCTGCCAGATGTCGAAGGCCTGAGTGGGCGAGTCAGGTAGCAGGCGGAGCATCAAGATAATGGTATAGGTGTGAGGAAGACCATCAGGGTGGAGCTCTCTGTTCAGGAATGAAAAACAGACATGCTGTTAGGAGAAATCTAAATTTTGATCCAGAATGAAGGAAAGATGTTTGGATCAGTTTTCTGGATGTTCTTCATCAGTTCTTCTGGCATTGTCAAATGCAGTAAAATCCCCTAGATTTCTCTTCATGTCAGACCAAAACTAACCTCAGCCCTGCTCTAGACCAGGACTGGGTGTCTGGTTCTTGGTTCCTGAAGTCTGAACTCACTGAAATGATCTGCAGACTACGTAAACTTCAGGTGACATCATCTGGCTGCGGATCAGATAGAGCTGGTTTTATGTGTACGGGGCTTGAGTGGTCCCATATGTGAGAGTGGATATTGCACTGTGGTGCAGAGAGGAAACAAACAGCATCAAAGCGAAGCAGGACTCACAGGGTGGGCTGGTTCAGGAAGGCGTTCTTGTGAAGTCGGTAGGCAGTGAAGCTGTTAAACGAGCCGGGCTCCATGGAGACACCTGGGATGTGACTGTAGGTCTTCTCTGTCAGATTGAAGGCCTCCAGCATCCTGAATCCTGGGACAATAAAAACCCTTACTTCACACAGAGGAAGAGGAGGATTCCCTTTCTGTTCGAGAACCTCTTGTGTAAAACGTCTCACCAGGTGATGTGAATCCATTCAGGTAAATCAAAGGACAGGCTGTGGAAAAACAGCAGACCTGTTAGATGTAAGAAAACATCTGTGTTGTGATCTCACTTTGTACTTGACACCTACATGATGTTGCTGTCTCACAGATGAAGGTTATCAGGTTTTCTCTGATGGTGTCAAACGCATCAAAGTCATCCACCACAAAGACGTGTCTGTCACTGGGTTTGCTGCCAATCTCCTGCAGCTCAACAAAATCTACGTCTGCTACGCCGACGGCAAACACGCTGTAACCTGAGGGAGACAGCCAGTAGAACATCAGCCAGTGTCGGTTCTCAGCTGCACATAATCCTCCTGACCAGTGTTGTCCTAGTGCAGCCCTGCTGACCTCCATGACAGCATTTCCCTTCCAGCTGTGCTTTTATTTTGGCAGGTAGGGAACTTTATCCAAGCCTCTGACTGACATATATTTCTACTTCCTGTTACATGTCGCCCTTTTCCTCAGAGAGATAGATGAGCAGTTTGGTTTTGAAGCTTTGATCACTTCTTGATGTAATTCAGGCCCAAAGCAGCCCTCAGAGAAGCTACGCTTACTAATGTGTTAACGTATGATTAAGAAGCTGTTAATACTTTATTTATTGGTTTATGAAGGGTTAATAAAATTGCACTAAGTACTGTTAATAAGTGGACCCTTATTGTAAAGTGTTCCCACACAGTTATTAGTTTCTTTATTGAAAAGTGACTGATTAGATGAATAGTTCCTGCTGTTAAAGCGCTACTAGCCAACACTGCTTCTGACTGACCCTCAGAACTGGTAGATGGTGTCGGTTACCTGCATGCTGCAGTCTGGCAGCATTCTGCTTCACCTCATCCTGAGAACGCCCATCAGTGATCACCACCACCACCTTTGGGACGTTCCTTCTGATCCCGTTTTCAGGAGAGAAGGCCTTCTCATATGTGTGTTTAAGAGCCATTCCTGTTGAGCAGAAGGAAAGGTTAAAACCATGTCATCCCAAATCGACCTCCATCATCATCATCATCATCATCATCATCATCACCACCAGTGAAGCGAGTGGTCTGACCTGTCTTCGTGTTTCCTCCTCTGTATCGAATCTGATGGACAGCAGCCATGGTGATGCCTTTGTCCTGATAAGTGTTCAGCTTAAACTCCGTCGTTGCTCCATCGCTGAACTGCACGAATGAAACCTGAGAAACAAGCAAAAGCCTCCATGACGTGATCCAACAGCGGTGTCAGGGCAAGCTCAGGATGCAGGCAGCTACTTAGGCATTACAACTGTTAACCTTTAGAGCATGCTGTGGTCTGTGGGGGGGTACCCAGAAGAAACCCACACATGCAGGAGGAGAACATGCAACTCCACGCAGAAAGGCCACAACCGGGTTTTCAACCTGCAACCTTCTTGCTGCAAGGCAACAGTGCTTTCTCTTCTGGCACTCGCAGAGTACAGACGCTTCTGCTTTTGCTCCCTTATCTTAATCCTCTTTTCATCTAAATGAAATGCTGGCGGCGCGTGCACACGCAGCAGCTTCTCTCTCTCTCCCGTACTTAGCGAGAGTTTGAGAGTAACGTAATTTCATTTCTCTGCATGTCTTGTACATGTGGTAGAAATGACAATAAAACTGACTTTGACTTTGACTAACAACTGCACCACCATGCAGCCCATTTGACACAGGATCCTTAAAACTGGTTTAAATATTCCCAGACATGCTTACACACACACACACACGCACATGCACACACACACACACACACGCACACATGCACACGCACACACACATGCGCGCACACACACGCACGCACACACACACACACAAACACACACACACAGCCACACGCACACATACATGCAGACGTACACACACACACACACACACACACTCACACACGCACACACACACAGGCACACGGACACACACACGCACACACGCACACACACGCATGAACACACAAACACACGCACACACACGCACACACGCACACACACACACACACACACACACACACACACACACACAGACACGCATGCACGCACACACGCACGCATGCACGCACACACACGCGGGCGCGTACACACACACACGCACACACACACACACACACACACACACACACACACAGACAGGCACGCATGCACACACACACAGACACGCACGCATGCACACACACACACACACACACACACACACACACACACACACACACACACACACACACACACACACACACACATGCACATGCACACACTCACACACACAATCCGCCCAGAGTTCCTTAAGGATCTGGATCTTCAATTCAATTCAAGTTTATTTATAAAGCGCCAAATCATGACAAGAATTGTCTCAAGACACTTCACCCAGTAAACAATCCCACTCAGGTCAGGTCATTGAACCAATCAGTGAAAGGTTTCCTATATGAGGAACCCAGCAGGTTGCATCAAGTCCCTGATAACGTTCTACGGAGGTTGGAGGTTGTGTTGGCTGACACGGCTCTGCAATATTGCGTGGACATTGGTGGTAGTTCCACGGGATTGGAAGACCAGGGTGGTGGTCCCCTTTTTTAAAGCGGAGGGTTGCGGTTAAACACACACCTGCATCCCTGAGGGTCCAATTACATCAAAGGCGCCGATCATGCTGGAGACAAAGGTCACAACTTTAGAGAAGCTGTCTTCTCCGATACTCCATGAGCCATCGATGACAAACACCAAGTCTGCTTTGGCACCTTTACAAACTGAGGTGAGACAACAAGCCAATCAGCATCACAACATCATCCTCAGTCAGCAGAAAATGGTGAAATGACAGAGGAAGTGATGAGCTGAAACATGATGGGTTAATAGATTACACACCTGAATCAGAGCAGATCCATAACCTGTGTACAAGGATCTTACAAAGGGTTCTGGTCTGGACTATGGCTGCACCTTTGTTCTGTGGTGGTGCTGTGTTTGGATCATGGTTCTGGTTCATGACCTGGTTCAGTTCATACTTAACTGACAGATTCACTGAAATGATATTCTAGACCAGGGATGTCCAACCCTGGCCCTCCAGGGCCACAATACAGCTCCAGTACACCTCAGCCACCTGCTCAGCAGCTCATGGAGCTTCAAAGGAGCCTGTTTATTACCTGTTGATTACAACCAGGTGTGTCGAAGCAGAAAACAGATAAATCATGCTAAAAGGCAGCTCTTGAGAACAGGAATGTGCACCCCTCCTCTAGAACCTGCAGAATGGTGGACCAGACTTTGACACCCTTCTGTCATAAAGGTGTTTTCATCTGGAGGAGCTGACTAAAGAAAGATCTGAACCATCAGCAGCTAGCTAAACGTGTTACGACTCTAAAGGTAGATGAGCTCCTAACCTTTGACCCTTCCCAGTAACAAGTCTTAGATCTGAGGACCTGGCACATGTTCTTTTTTCTTCTGGTAACACACGCCTGTATTCTCCTGAGCAGTAAACTGCTCCATGTTTTCAGGTAACTGTTTGATCTGATCGAGACACCTGTTAGGGTTAGGGGGCTCCACTGATAAAGCAGGGGGTGGAGCTGACCTCTGACTTCTACACATTTCTACACAAACAGTTTCCTGTTAGATTGTGGCTGACGCCAGTCGTACCGGCCCATGCAGGGGGGATGGTGGGTGGAGGTGTCGGGGTGGGGGGCATTGTTGGAGCCAGGGTTGGTTTCACCACTGTGGGACACAAACATAGAGACAATGGCATCAGTCATTGGGGACCCAACACCACATCGTTGTCTGCTTCAGTGTTGAGAACAAAAAAATGTTAAACTGGAGATCTTCAGCCACAAAATGAGCCGTGTCTCGGTTTATGGGTCAGATATGAAACACTTACAGGTTCTCTCGTCGGTGCCCACTCCTGGTCCTTCCAGGTCTGGAGTCTGGACAAAAACAGTGGCGGTGTAGAGGGCATCAGGGGACAGACCGTCAAAGCAGTACTGAGGTAGTCCAGCAGGGATCGTGGTCTCCTGTTGTCCTTCACTGGAGCCTAAAAGGGATGGGACATGGAAACGTCTAATCTGAGCGGTGGAAGCAGGGCAGATCAGGCTTTTCTGGATGTTCTTAATCTAAAGTTATGCTAGAGGACCGTTCAGAGTCAGCACGTCTACAAAACCTGATCGGTTCTGACGCCACAGCAGTAACGTGGTAGAGCAGCAGTACGGGCGGGGACAGTGCAGGTTCTGACTGGGTCCACAACAGTGGTTCTGTTTCAGACTCTACTTAACAACCAGAATCCCTGAAAGTTCTTCTCACCAGACTTCACTCATCACTTTGTAGGTTCAGTTTTAATAAAACAGGGACAGGTCCTCCATCAGAGTAACTAACTCGTCCCAGAAGAACCCGGCCGGTTCCGCCAGCTTGTCACTGTGGCTCTAATGACTAACAGATACTGATGCTTGAGCCCAGAACCTGAGTCTGCACGTGGATCAGAACCAGATGGAAGTAAAGACCTTCAGGTACCATACCAGTTGATCTGTTTGCACACAGCATGAGAGCTGACCCATAAAACACATTCCAACACAATAAAGTCAAAGCTGATTAAAAAACAGTAACAAATAAATAAAACCACAGGCCAAGGGCCAAATCATACACATGCGTTTTTAAACGATTCTGTCAGACACAATTACAGCCGTCATGGCCCAACTCTGCAGCCCTGTGATCACAAGATCCACCAAACCCAAACTGGTCCAGAGCATCGGCTTCATGCTGACAAGAGTCTGCAGAGAAGATGTCATCTGGAGGAACTCCTTCACACATCTCTGATTCTACAACAGACTCCAAGCAAGCCCTGTCTGATCTGGTTCTGACAGACGGGTCAAAGTCAGGATCTGGAACTAGCAACAGGAAAAGGTCTCGTGTCCAGTCAACCAGTCCCAGTTCTCGTGTCAGGACCAGTCACACAAAAACACAACAGTGATGGTCATGTTGAACATTCTGATCTGTTGGTTTTTTTTATCAGACTGAACGCAGAAACAGCTGCAGGTGGAAAACGCTGGAGCAACCTGGGACCCGTGACTCCATCCCCTGCCATGGTCCGTGGTGAGCTGCCTGTCAGTATTTGTGTTTGTCCTCTGAGTCTTGTCTGCAGGTGGGCGTGTCTGACAGCAACCAGCTGCAGCTGATCCTGTCATCAAGGCCCAGGGGATTTAAGCAGCAGTGTGACTCAGCACCATGTCGGATGATTACTCTGTTTTGGGTAGCTCTAGCCATTTAACCTGCCTAGAAGTTTGTATCTAGTTAGAAAACCTGTCGCCTGAAAGATCCAGACAATTCTTTCCTGTTCTCCTCCAGGTTTTCCACTCCATGTTCCCTCATCTCCATAACCAGCCCGGACTCCTGCACTGCAGCTCACAATGCCGTTCCCCTGGCCGCCCGCTCCCAGCCGCTCACCTGCCTTCACCAGCATCCGCACCAACCTCATCTCTGGACAAACTGTTTGTCGCTCTCTGGACCCCTTCAGCTCTCCCAGACCTGACCAAGCTCCCTCCGTGCCTCCTACCGCCAGTATCTCCATTAATCCCTCTGGAAACTCACTCTGTCTCCCTCCTCAGAACCCCATCTTGGAATCCTGCTACCAGTATGCAGCATCTTCAGCTCCTGTTGCTACTCCTTTAGATCCTCATTTATAATAAATCCTTTTTACACTTACCTGTTTCCCGTGTGTGATTCTGCATGTCGTGGGTCAAGAAACTGCCTCCCATCATGACACCCCGTAGCTAACCAGTGACTCTACCCCGTAGCTAACCAGTGATTGTCAGTCACTGACAAAGATCATTTGCGTAACAATTTGTAGGTGGTAACTTTTAATAAATTACCAATAGAATATAAAGTATTCAATAAAATGTAATATTCCATAAAAATATGGATTATTGATATTATTGAACCTTTAATATTGGATCTCTGATGAAACTAGGTACTTTGGTTAATCCAGGGAAACAACACTTATCTGACTCAGAGACAAAAATATAGTTTATAAAATCTATTTATCACTATATTAATGATGAGAAAGGCTAATGATTATAAATGGTGACACAGTGATGTTAAATGAGACAATGAATGAACTCTGATGAAACATGACCTGGTGTATTTAAGAGCTTTCTAAGTGACTCAGAAAGGTATGATGTCTGATTTATTAAATAATCTGGCTGTTGGGTGTAATTTAACAAGTTATCAGATTAATACCAACCACTCTGACGCCATTGTTTAGTCTACACACCCTGGATCATAGAAGCTCTGGAGACCCGGTCTGCAGGAGAAGCCGTCTCTCAGAGCGAGTGAGTGGACATGTGATGTATCTGAAGATCGTAGACACCCTCAGCATACGCACGACTGGTCAGAAGATACTTCCCAGGTGGCTTCTGGTGGGCGGTTTCACGTCTGATGAGTGGGCGGTGGATTGAGTAAATAATAGTTGATTGATTTAAAAAAGGGATTGTTCTTTAAGCCGCTAAAATTATTCGACTGAAAGATTTGGTTTAATCCCACAATTGGTGGTAATTTAGCATGAGCTGTGGCTGAACTGCCAAATATAGGAAGTGATACCTCTTAATGTTCGGCGTTGATGATTTTAGAGCCAATCAGATCTGAGAAACGTGTACAGGAGTTTACCGAGACCCTCAGACACCCAGAAGAGGCTTAAGCTGCTTCATGTGAAGTGTTAATATTCACTGGTTAATATGATGATATGAATATGTGAATGTAACTGATAATCATTATTAAATCAGCAAGTAGACTCATGTGGTGTGTTTAAGATAATAACCCTAACCAGTAATAAACATTAGTGTTGTTTAGAAGAACATTTACTGGAGATAAGAGAATGACTGTAAACCTGAAGTTAGGAAACCATCATGAGACAAAAGACTCAGACTCAAGTCTCTCTCCTGAAGAGACGAGCTGATGGCCAGATAAGGGAGGCAGGAGGAGGAGTTTATTATGGCTACCTTCTGGTGCAGGGTTGTATACCGCCTGTGTCTCCAGGTGAAAAGCACCCCGATAACCCTCGCCACACCGATGAAGAAGGCTTGGATTGACCTTTGCCCTTTTTCCAACTAACTCCATGTGGTCAGCTGTTTCCAGCAGCACGGTCCTGGATTTCCCCCAACCTGTCAGTACCTGCTTGGTTGTGGTTCCTAGAGAACCGATCCATTCTGAAAATGTGACATCAGCAACTGTTGATTTCTGATTGGCTAGGGAGTGGAGTCACTTGTTGTTCCAGAGCGTGTGTGTGTGTGTGTGTGTGTGTGTGTGTGTGTGTGTGTGTGTGTGTGTGTGAGAGAGAGAGAGAGAGAGAGAGAGAGAGAGAGAGAGAGAGAGAGAGAGAGAGAGAGAGAGAGAGAGAGAGAGAGAGAGTGAGAGAGAGAGATAACTTGTGACCTGTTCCTGTGCAAGCACACCTGTCACCTGTTGAAGATTTACCCTAAACGTGTCAAACAGAGATGAAAGACATGAGGGATGTTTAAAGGTCAACTGTACTCGTGTTGTAAATACATCTGCAGTGGTCTCTAGCAGGAACAAATGCCTTGTGAGTCAGGAAAAACAGCTCTGGTGATCCTACTCCAGGAGGTACAAGTGAGCCAGACAGGAACGGGGCTGATCCTCTGGTCCTGATTGGACCTGAATGAGGGTGTTTGAGAGACATGTGTGTTGGAAGCTTACGGTCGGTGGGGTCCAGTTTGATCCGGTAGGACGTGGCTGCTCGGTGAGGACTCCACTTGATGCATAACCTGTCATGGCCGACATCGTAGGACTCAATGTTTGTCACGTTCAGGTAAACTGCAGAATTCAGAGACACATCATCATTGGTGTTGTCCATGCAGAAACAGGCAGATTGCTGCTTTGCACGTACGTGTTGTTCCCTCTCCCATCAGTGGAGCACTTATACCAGAGGTGTACTGGGCCAGAACTTTGACACCATAGGTGGTTCCGGGCTGCAGGTTTGTCAGGATGAATGAGCTCACATCACCAACAAACATGTCTATGGGCTGGTCCTTCCCTGGAAAACACACCAGCGGACCACAATGCAGACAAGCACTGAGTGATGCTGGCTGAGTCGGTGCTGATGTGACCCACCTTTAGGGGAGTAGATGAGTCTGTACCCTTGGACTGGAGAAGAAACGGGTACCCAGGACACCCGGAACCTGGTGTACCATTCATCTGAGACCTGCAGGTTTCTGGGACTCAACATGCCAACTGCAACAGACAGATGTGTTATGGTAAATGGTCTGTATTTGATATAGCACCTGGAACCCCCCAAGGCGCTTTACAACACAATCATTCATTCACCCGTTCACACCCTGGTGGTGATGAGCTACGGTGTAGCCACAACTGCCCTGGAGCATGCTGACGGAGGTGCCACCCTCCGACCTCCACTAGCAGGTGAGGGGGGTTGGGTGTCTTGCCCAAGGGCACAACGACAGCAACAATCTGAGCGGGGCTGAAACCTGCAACCTTCCGACTACGGGGCAAGCGCTTAGCTACTGTGCCACCGTCGTCCCCGTGTTAGTGCCTGGTTCTCTAGGAACAGAACCAGGAAAAGCGCCCAGGATCTGTTTCTACCACCATGACCAGGTCTGTAATCCAAAGACCCTACAAAATCCCGTTCTGAGTTTTACCAGACAACAGGATTAATGAACTAGTTGTAACGGGTTACGTTATGTTGATGTTAGACTTTTATTGTGAAGTGAGTGCAGCATTCAGCAATGGTCAGTTTAGGCACTGTCTGACCTTTCACCATCTATTCAACATCTGGTCAGAAAGGAGACAGCATTGCATGTGTTCCCTTTAGACGAGTCTGCCTGCCTGAGGGCTGGAAGCAGCTGGGACTCACAGACTCTGCAAGTCTGAAAGATAAACAATAACTTTCTTTCCCAAGGTCCCATCTGTCTGCCTCCACAGAAGACTCCAACTCCAGCTAATCAGCTGCTAAATTCAAGAATGATTTACTAAATCAATATGAACTTCTTCCATGATTTATAATCTAGATAATCATTAAATAAATATTTGTTCATAACTACTTATAATAATTATAGTATAATGAAATGCTTCATTAATCTGTGAACAATGAATGGATGTTATGATATGTGTCTACTAGAACCTGCCATGTGTTCAACATGTTTTGACAACAAGGTCCTCACACTTGCATCCACACTATAACAAGTATGGTTAAGTTAGACTACAACACATAACTTGCCCTTTTAACCAGTCAGGACATCCGATATCAAAGAGGGTGTGTTTCTGAGTTGTCTTGGTAAAACATCTCCAAACTTGTCAGCCTCTGATTGGCTGTGCAAATCATAACATCAAATCCTTAAAACTAGATCACCTTGAGTGATTTGGGAGTTCTAGAGAAAGCTTCAGACTGGCCACCTGTCACAACCTCTTTAACCATCAAAGATTTTGACACGTCGTCAAAACCTTTTTGTACCTACAAAGCTGAGACAGCAAAATAGTTCCTGCAGAACAAAGCTGATATCATTAGACTCCTTAAGAGTCCTTCAGACGTACGGTTCAATCCAGCTGTTCGGATCCACCAAGAGGGTTTCTCTCAACCGGGTAAAGCAGACATGACAGATTGTGTCTGATGTGTTTGTGAAAGATAACAACTTCATAGTTTAGAGCAAACCAAATTCTTTTTCATCCGGAGACACCGCTTTCCGAGATTCAGAAGGTCTGACCAACATCACATTGGCACATAGCCTTCATCACATTTAGCTCCATCCAATCACAGAAAATGCTTAGTTCACTTATCATGTTATAATTGTAATTAAATAATTTCTTACTTTTATAAACCTGACTCTTTTCTGAATCAAAACGAAGTGTGTATAATTACTTAATAAAGCAAAAATCCTAGAATCTTCTGATTAAGCCCTATAATCTTCTGATATTTACAATAAAGATCAAGCAAGGTAATATTTTATATTTAAACAGAATATCAAATAAATAATCCATTTGTCTCCACTACATGAGTGTTCTTGGTGGGGGTAGAGAGAAGTTCTGGTTCCGGTCAAAAGTGTGGGAGTTTCTGGAGGAAAACCAGTTATTGTTCAAGTTCTTGTGACATTTGAGGGGGTTAAGCTGTAAGGCGTGGGTTATGGCCGACAGTAACCCAGAATAAAGTACAGAAGAAGCCAGAGAATGAGATGGGGGAATTACATAGTGTACAGGCTTCAGATATGGTGTTTGAGACTCTTATTGTTAAGGGTTTTAGGAAGTTTCTGCATGGACTGAACACTGCTACAGATATTGTAACCAGCTCAGTGGCCCTGGGACTGGGAGATCGGAGTTGGATTCCTGGTGGGGTCATACGGACCCAACAACTCCCTGCTTTAGGGGTTGGATTGGGGGTTAAAGCACCAATAGCTCTTGAGCGCAGCCACAGCCACCGCTCCCATCCATGGGGATGGGTCAGATGCAAAGATGAGTTTCACCAGAGTGTGACGATGACTATGGGACTTACAAAACCTGATTCGTTCATCCTAATCTTTTCTGAACCTTTCAAATTTAATTCTGGTACTACGGCCTTTGTTGTCTCCAACAAGGCCGACACCACCAAGATGTTTATGTTTATGTTTATGTATTTAGCAGACGCTTTTGTCCAAAGCGACTTACAAGTGATGGTGGTGCAACCCACCAAGACCCACCTCCTGGACACCTACAGCCCTCAGTAACCACCTTTCTGATGACCTTGGTGTTCACCAGGACAGTTCCTAACCTTTGGAACAAGTGAATAAATGCTACAGGCGAACAGGTCCAGAACTCAATAATGAGGTGAGCAGAACCAGTCTCATCTGAAGAGCTCATCAGGGGAGAGAGTGAATCTGACCTGGAGTCCGACCCTGTGGCAGCAGCTGGCACACAAAGCCCCTCCCCCAGCTCCTCGAGGATGTCCCAGGAGCCACCACTGCTCCTGGCAGTCCTACCTGTCCTTCCATTCCCGTTGAGAGAGCCTCCAGGTCCCTCAGCATAGACGGCCTCCACAGTGATGTTGTAGGGAGTGTCTGGGCTCAGACTCAACAGCATGGCATTGTTTCTGTTTCCTGGAACCAGCGCCTGAAAACAGGAAAGAAGATCTTTTGCTTCCAGAACATCTTTTCCAGAGGAGATCTGATGGTTCTGAGCCTCTGACCCGACTGGAACCCAAGCCCTCCATTGGATCAGGCTTCTAGTTTGATGACTTAAATCCATTAATGAGTGAGGGGAAGCACAGCTGTGCCATCCCTATTATTAACATCATTATGGATGATTAGATCCCATTTGTCTTAATAGTGTGTAATTAGTCTTTAGGAGGCGATGAGGGATTCCTGAGTGGTGACTTCACTTCATAGTTCCAGCTGGTCAAAACCTACTTTCCATCAGAAACACGTTTCAGACTGCTCAGATGCTTCAGATCTCTGAAATAGAACATCTGGCTTCATCAGAGTAACATCAGCAACAAGCTAGCTGAAGTCTGGTTGAAGGCTGAAGGACTGGTCCTTCATGTCTTCCTTCACAACCAGACTTCAGCTTCAGTTAAAGGGAATATTGAAATCATCAGAAGAGGCACTCACAAACTCTGTGATGGGGTCTCCAGTCATGGGAGCGTAGGAGATCTTGTACTGCCTCACAGGCCCCTCAGCGTGGTCCCACCCAATGGTCAGGGTGCTGGTGGTGGCCTCAAACACTCGCATGTTCCTGGGTCCAGCACGAGGGACTGCAGCAGGAACACCAGACAAAATCTATTGCCGGAAAGTTTCTATTCAACAGTTTTATCTGCAACAAATCATTTCCCCTTAGGCATTCCACAAGAGCTTGTTGTTGGTCTACTTCTCTTTAACTACGTGGCTCAGGCTGGGAGAATGAATCAGGGCACCTTCTGTGACTGAGGGGGAAGGCAAGGAGGAGAAGAACTCTAAAAGGAGGTCAGACCAAGAGACTAACAACCTATGATCTGAGGCCTTACGGGTTTTGCCGTTGCCTTTCACTGGCGATCCCTCAGCATCAGCGTACAGAGCGGAAACAGCGATGGAGTAGGGAGTGTCTGGGATCAAGTTGTCCAGGAAAGCATTGTCGATGGTTCCTGGAACCAGAACCTTTAGGAAGGAACAAGAAAGATCAAACATGAACTTTATTAGATAATAAACCAACTAGTCAGTTTGACACAATTCTCTGGATCAGAACCGCATCTGCAGGAATAATGTGATGCCCATCATCTACCAGCTGTCTTTGCAATCCTCTGCTTTCAAAGATTCCCTCCAACTCAACTGTAGCCCCAGTCAGTCGGACACAGAACAAATGAATCAACGAGTGGTCTGAATGATGTTATCTGTCAGGAAGCACCAGCAGAACCTCAGCAGGTTGTCCAACAATGAGCCACTACTTCTGACACTCGAGGCTCAAAGTTACCATCAGGGCGTCTAAAGCACTTGATAAAGGTTCTAGTTAGAAGAACTGGAACCATGAGAAAATATGTAATGAACAGAGGACTGAACCCTTTACTTCGGCTGACGTTTCCATATAAAATATAATCAATCAGAACTGAGCTAACTTCAGTTGGGTTGGGTTATTCAAAGAAACCATCCATCTGTCCATCCACTTTCATCTGCTTTTCCGGAGTCGGGTCGCAGGGGACACATCCTAAGCAGGGAGGCCCAGACTTCCCTCTCTCCAGCCACTTGGGTCAGCTCCTCCAGGGAAATCCCAAGATGTTCCCTGGCCAGGTTAGAGACATGGTCCCGCCAGCATGTCCTGGCTCTCCCTTAGATCTTCTCTTGGTTGGACATGCCTGGAAAACCTCACCAGGGAGGCGTCCAGGAGGCATCTTGACCAGATACCTGAGCCACTTCAACTGGCTCTTCTCGAATTGGAGGAGCAGCAGATCTACTCAAAGCCCCTCCCAGATGACTCTCTCTCCCTATCTGGAGAGCCCAGCCACTCTGCAGAGAAAACTCGTTCCGGCATCCATCAGCTGCATCTGGGGTCCCACAGACCAAAAACACCTGATAGAACTCTTTCTTCAGCTTGACAGCATCCCTAACCGCAGCAAGTTCGGGGGTTACCGCCATGACAGGCTCCGACGACCCTGTGGCTTCAGCTCCAGTCAGCTACCTCAACAATGGAGGCACAAAACAGTGCTCCTTCTGATGGAAGACTCCACCAGACGTGCCCAGCAGACGCTCACAATATGTTTAGGTCTGCCAGGTCTGACCGGCATCCTCTCAATATCGAAGCCAAGTCACCACCAGGTAGTGGTAAGTTGACAACTCTGCCCATCTCCACCCAAGAGTCCAAGACATACGGCCACGGACCAGATGAGCCATCAACAAAGTCCATCGTTGAAGTGCGAACTAAGGCATCCTGGTGCCACGGGCGCACCTTTATGCTTGAACATGGGTTTCACTCATGACAATTCGTGATGAGTACAGAAGTCCAGTAACAAAGTACCACTTGGATTACGATCAGGGGGGCCGTTCCTCCCAATCACACCCCTCAAGGTTTCACTGTAGTTGCCCACGTGAGTATAGACTTCCCCCGGTAGAACAAGGGAATCACCAGAAGAAGCACTCTCTAGCACCTCTTCCAAGGACTCCATTGAGAATTGTGACCTGCAGTTTGGTGCATACACACAAACAACTCAGGAGCCCTCCCCTACATGTAGGTGGAGGCAGGAGCCCTCCCCCACATGTGGGTGGGGGCAGAATGAAAGAAGAAAACCATCTTTTATACAGCGCCTCTCAAGATACTAATCACGAGGCGCATCACATGTACCACAAAATTCAACTATAAAAATATTTCAAGAAATTACTAAAAATTGTTTAAAATGAAAAAACTAAATTTAAATTGTGATAAAAAAATAAGGAAAGGGAGAGAGAAAATGAACAGGAGATCGGGAAACCAGTGGATCCCGGGAAAGGCAGAATAAGAGCAGAACAAGGAGAGAGAGGTGATGAAGGTCCCACCAAACCTGAACAGGTGAGTGTAAAGGAGACCACTGAGTCCACTGATCTCAGGCTCGGGGAGAGAGAGCTCCAGAGTCTGGGGGCCATAGCAGCAGATGATCTGTCACCTTTGACCTTTAGCCTGGTGTGCTGCAGAGGGAGGCTACCCTCTTGATCACCAGGGTAAAGACCAATGTACAAGCACCAAGATGGGGAGGCAATGAGCATGCCCAGTCTGGCTCTGCGCCTCCCAGTGGAGGCAACTCCAGAGTGGTAGTGTCTGATAGGACTGGGTAATATATATATAATTTTTCCAACCTCCAATCGTCAGTCCAATAAACAATGATGGACGATAAATTTGCTAACGTCTGAAAGTCTTTAACTCTTCATGAGTGAAGGGCCCATGTTTCTGTTGAATAGGAATAAATGTCTCCCCAGCAGATTTGGGAAAAATCTGAATGGGACCGACATTTTCCGTCATCCCAGAGCTCGTACGGGCTGTTAGTAACTGTCATTTTCTCTCTAAACCTCCTCTTGTCTTTAGACGGTGAAGTGTTTATATATTGGGGTTTTGTCCGTAAACGTCGCATATCGATAGCAGCTTGCTTTTGCCACCCAGCCGCTCACGCATGCGTAAAGCTGGAGGAAGATGTCAACAAACATCCTGCTATACGCTGACAAAAGCTGAGGATCTGAGCACACGGGAAGGTGCAGGTATTTGTAAGAGTTATGAGGAGCAAGGTTATGAATGGCCTTACATGTAAGAAGTAAACATTTGTAAATGATCCTAAACTTTATTGGTAGCCAATGAAGCTGCTGAATAACGGGTGATGTGAACACATGAAAGTGTTTTGGTGATGATACGGGCTGCAGTTTGAACCAGCTGAAGCTTATGTAGTCTTCTGAGGCATACACAGAGAAGCGAATTACAATAATCCAGACGATAAGTGACCAGAATGTTGACTAATATGATGGTGGCGTGTTTAGAGAGTGATAGACGAAGGCGATAAATATTTGGTAGGTAGTAGTAGGCCGAACGGGTAACTGCACTGATATGGGAACGGTAGGACAGCGTTCGTCTAGAACCACACAGAGACTTTCAATTAGATCCAGGCAAGCAGCTGTGGTGTTGGATAGGTAATGAGAAGGTTCCAGCCTCCCCTACATAGCCCATGAAAAGGTTCTCGCCCTGCTGACCCCGCGACCCAACCCTGGATAAACGGTTGGGTTATTAAAAACAAACTAGTTGAGTTATCTCCATCACTGACAGGTGGCTGATCTCAGTGTTGTGAAGGTTTCTTTACCAGGAAATGGATTCAGTTGAAATCAGCTGCTGGATGAATGGATGTTTGTTTTAATACATAAAAAGTGATGTTTTTCTAGAAGTGTTGAACTGCAAGTGAAGATAAAAGTAGCTAGAACCAGATGAGATGTGACACCTGTGGAGGGAAAATGCCTTCCTCACCGACTCAGTGGGTCTGACTCCGGTCAGAGGCGTGTAGGCCACACGGTACTGTTGGACCTGGCCCGAGGCAGGCTCCCAGCGCACATTCAGGCTGTTGGGGGAGGGGTTGTACACCTGGATGTTCCTGGGTGGGGTCCTGGGGACTGCAAATGTCACACAGGTCAAAAGAAAGCGATGCCAGAAGCAGAGCAATAATAATTCTTCCCTTCTCAACAGAATTTTATAACAACTGGAATCCAAGCCTTGAGAGGGCCGGCTGGCTGCAATCAGTTTACAAACATAAGTGATTATTTTCCCAAAAACATCAGAAATGTTCTAAACACAGCAGGAGAACACGCCAACCAGAGCAGATGGATGCTTCATGGCTGGAATGTCCAAATGGAAGTCTTCCAGCAGAGTCTAGAAGATTCTGTTCAAACAAACTAAACATCTGGATTGAAACCCAATTCGGAGTTGAACCCAGATGCTGAGAGCAGCAGAACCTTCTGCAGGACGGTTGTTTGACGTCTCTATGTGAAGGGAGAAAAGCATTCTTTTGGGTTGATGCAAAAACTCATCACTTCCACTTTAAATGCAACCAGATGTGCAGATCCTCTGGCATCTGGACACATCTGGAGCTTCAGCCAATAAAAGAAGAAATACATCCAGTCTCCTACTGCTCCCCCAGCTCGGTCTGCTGGATGAAACTGTCTCTGTCATCAAACAGACGAGAAGATAGGCCAACAGACAGAAACAGCTTTCGGCATCCTGAGAACTCCACTCAGCGCCATGGCTTAGTGGTAGAGTGTTCGCCCTGGGACTGGGAGGTTGAAGGTCAAATCCCAGTCGGGTCATACCAGAGACTTTATGGGACCCGAGGCCTGCCTGCTGGACAGCATTAAGCGGTTGAATTGGGGGGTTAAAAAAGGTTCCCGGGCGGGCACGGCCATGTCTGCAGCTCATCGCTCCCCTCGTGGATGGGTCAGAAGCAGAGGACAATTTTCACCACACCAGTGTGTGTGTGACATTTTCATTTTTAACTGGACAGTTAGGGCAAAAACAGTCCCACCATACAGGGTCTGGCTGTGGAATATTGAGCTGCTGCTGTTCTGAGGAAGAGGAACCAGAGAACACATGATGATGATGTTTGCTGCAGATCTGTCCGCCCTCCAGGCTGCCCGTGGTCCCCCAGCCAGAGAAGAGGGTGTTTCCCCCATCAGCTGTCTGAAGCAGGGATGCTGGGAGAACTGGAATCAGTGTCCCAGAAGCTTCCTCAGACCACAGACCCATAGACACCAAACCAGATCAGCAGCTTCTGCCTGTGGTGCTGCTGAAGCTGCTGAGGTTCTTGTTTCTCTTCTAAACCTTAGATTCTACAGCATGGCAAGGTTTTGGTAGTCCACCATGTTTGATCTAAAGGTTGTGGTGATTGTGTAGTTGTGTGTTTCAGTGTGATGCTGCCTCCGTAGAAAATGACTATAGGCTCTAGATTTGACCTCAACCCACTTAGACCGCTCCGAACATGTTTGTCAATCAGATCCAGAACCCCACTTACGGGTCTTTCCATTGTCCGACTGGCGAAGACCTTCACCCTCAGGGTAAACTGGAACCACTGTCACGCTGTAGGGAGTGTCTGACAGCAGGTTTCTGAGGACGGTGTTGGTGGTTCCACCTGAAACCTGCTCCTGGTACCACAAAAATTGATCAGAATGTTAGTTTTGATCACAGCAGGAAGTCATCAGAACATCGTTCAGAAGAACCAACAGTAGTTAGTTTGGTCTTGATGATGTTTAAAAGCCTTAAAGCTAGTACAGTTACTAACCTCCAGTTACAGGTGTTCTAGTTGCGACCACTACAGTGATTATAGTAATTCACCGTCCAGCCCAAAAAAAGGTCACACACTGATATTTAGTAGGACCGCCTTTAGCTTTGATTATGGTTCACATTCGCTGTGGCGTTGCTTCGATAAGCTTCAACAATGGCACCAGATTCACTCCTGGTACTTTGGGTAGTCAGCTGACCTTCATCTTGGAGCACATCCTGTTGCTGAACCTGTCCAACTGCAGCAATCCCAGATCATAGCACTGCCAACACAGGCTTGTACAGTAGGCACTAGGCATGATGGGTGCATCACTTCATCTGCCTCTCTTCTTACCCTGATGCACCATCACTCTGGACCAGGGTCCACCTGGACTCATCAGACCAGTTTTAATAAAGCGTTGGACAGTTCTGAACCCAGTTTCTGCACCTCCTCAGATGCTTTATCTGCTTGATGCCGACGATCTGACCCTTCTCACACAGACTAACATCTTCTCCATCACCACCAGATGTGTCTTTCCACCTGGTTGTTTAAGACAAGAGAAGCAGCTCGTTGCACCAGTTGGGTTAAATAACTTGTTGCAGCTAAAAGATAACCGCCCGGCAGTAATTATCCCATGTTTACCTGTTTCCAACCCAACCCACTTTGATTTCTTTAGCACTTTCTACACAACTGCTGGCCAACGTGCTGTACAGGTCAAATAAAAGGCAGAGATAAACCACACCAACAATAAGACACATCACAACTTCAAATAAACACGGATACAACACTGAGATACATAACCCTAAACTCTAACTCATCTCTCTCTCTCTCTCTCTCTCTCTCTCTCTCTCTCTCTCTCTCTCTCTCTCTCTCTGTATGCATGTATGTAGGTATGTATGTATGAGTATATGTGTATATATATATATATATATATATATATATATATATATATATGATATATATACATATATATATATCTCCAGATTTGCTGGTTCTGAACATATTTCACACACACACCATCCTCAGTCTTACTCCATCTTAGTTCATCATCACAAAGTGTTTAAAGTTAGTCTTGTTTAATTTGTTTAGAAATAAATCTTTTAACTTTTTAAACCTGACTCTCTCTCTTTCTTGGAGTTGATACGAAGTGTTGCTCAATCCCTGCCATAAAAAGATCCGATCTACTGGTTAAATTTACTCAAAGATCCATTAAGGTGATATTTCATATTTCATGATATTTCACATTCTATGGTTTCTAATTAAATGTAAGAACATCTTCTCTACATTCACCACGCACTCGGAGCCTCATGTGGACTGCCTCTCAGTGATCAAATGGGCCATTCCCATCTGTACCGGGTCGGCCCGGGCCGAGTAGCCCCAGTCGGCCCCAGCCTGGCCCGGTTGATTCCACACATCCTTGCCTTAAGCCCATGTGGGCTGATTCTACCCACCAATCAGAGGCTTGCTCTAATGGAAGGTGTGAATTTGCTGTCAGCAGTGGGTGTGTTGGCCCTGGTCGGCCTGAAGCAGACCCCCTTGAGAAGAGGGCTGAGAATGAGCCTTGGTTGGCCCAGAAAAATACCAGGCCACCCAGATATGTAAACAACCCACGCTACCCGGCCCGGGCCGACCCGGTACAGATGGGAATGGCCCATTAGAGGACCGTAGGGTGCAGGGTGGGTCTGGGTTTGGGCCTAAGACTCTGGTTAGGAGTCATACTTTATGCCACCTGTACTAGATACAAGATATTTCTTGAAGCCTCTTGCCACCGCCGTTGCAAACATTCAATGCAGTTTAGACAGAATATTACGTCCTTTCTGAACAACGCAGTGCCGGCAGAACTTCCATGTCCAAAGACAACAGTGCTACCGTCCAGTAAGCGATGTCTGCTGTTGATCACTGGTCCCTACCTTTTACAGGTGTTTAATGTAATTGTGTTTTATAACTTGTTTAGTGATTTTGTACTTCAGGGCCACCGTACTAAATAAACCAATCAGTGTCCAAAACAAAACTTTTGTTAGAACAGCAGAAAACAAGAGTCACTAAGATATCCTACATTAACTAGTCAACAACAACAAAGAACCAAGAAAACCTGTTTATGATAAACCAGTGACTCGTGCTTTAGGACCAGATGACCCACCATGTCTTCAGCACCTCCAGATGCAGGAACGTAGAAGATACGGTACTGGCGGACGTTGCCATCTGCTGCCTCCCAGTGCACTCGAAGGGAGCTGGTAGTAGGATCAGTAACCCTGAGATTCTTCACGCCACCTAGAAGTTCTGCGAACATCACAAAGACCCATTAGAGTATCCAGTCTCCCTCACACCAGCAGACCACCAGGTCTCTGGGCCAGGTCACCTTCCTCAGAGACATTTGGTTCTCAAACACTACCTGGAAGAATAAAGGCTGAAAGGAAAAGTGAAGATTGGTACCTGGCCTGGATCTGTATAGCGCCTTCTTAGGACTCTACAGCCCCCCAAGGCACTTCACAATACAATCAGTCATCCAAACACATTAACGGTGATGAGCTACGATGCAGCTACAGCTGCCCTGGGACGCAATGACAGAGGCACCACCGGTCCCTCCGACCACCACCAGCAGGAACGGTGGGTTAGTGTCTTGCCCAAAGACATAACAGCAGCATGCTCTGGTTGGAGCGGAGATCGAACCTGCAACCTTCCGATCACTGGACAGCCCGTTCTACCTTCTGAGCTACTGCTGTCCCACAGAAAAAGGATGTTGGACAAGTGTCTTCAGAGCTTCCGACCTTCACTAGTCTTCTCATGCATCTTATGTGACTCGACTTACTTGTCTTTCCGTTCTCTGACTGCTGTTTTCCCTCCCCATCAATGTAGACAGGGACAACGGTCACCTTGTACTCGGTGTCTGGACGCAGCTCCCTCAGCACCGTGTTGGTGGTCACCCCAGACACTGAGGTCTAAGGAGTGAAGACATGAAGAGCAGAGTAAAATTAGTCACTGAAGCCAACCACCAGACAGACCTTTCTTATGTTCTTCCATCATCTACAGTATCACTGATGACAAACTGACCATAATGGTGCTTCCTCCTGCAACAGGGACATAAAGGAGTTTATACTGCTGGACATCACCCTCAGCTGGGTCCCAGCGGACCTTCAGTGAGTTGATTGTGGGATCAGTCACCTGGAGGTTCTTCACTCCACTCAGTGGTTCTGAAAGAGCAGAGATAGAAGTGGAGTGGTGAGATTGCCTTACCCAGCTGATGGTCACATGATTTCACCCTGAAAACTCATCCAAACATCTCCAGAACCTGAAGTGTTGCACCTGAACTCCTACATGACCACATGCTGGGAGGACTTTTATGGTTTATGTTTTTGTTTAGCTCCTTCTTGAGTTCCTACAACCCCTCAAGGCATTTCACAACAATCAGTCACTCATACCCTGGTGGTGATGAGCTACGTCATAGCCATAGCAGCCCCGGGGCGCACTGACAGGGGCCAGGCTGCCGAGCAATGGCGCCACCGGTCCCTCCGACCACCAGACCATTTAGGAGGAAGAATCATTTTTAAAAGTTTCTGGAGGTTCAAATCTAACCGGCTCAAGTTTTTTCTCTTTCCCTCTGGAAAACCACTTAAAGAAAGACCCACAATCACAACATCTACACACCCCTCCAGCAACACCAACATCTTTGGATCAAAGATTTTAAATGGTCCACTTACTGGTCTTTCCCTTCTCTTCCTGCCTTATTCCCTCTACATCCGGGTAAACGGGAATGACTGCCACATTGTAAGGTGTGTCTGCATCCAGGTTCCTCAGTATGGTATTGGTGGAGCCTCCGGACACCTCCTCCTGTTAAATGGGGTCAAACCAGCCTCAGCACATGAGCAGGTGATCTCCAAACCTGTAAAAGCAATTAGTCACAGAAAGGTCCACTACCATTTTTTCCTCTCCTCCCGGCTGCGCTGCGTACAGGACCTTGTAGCTACGAACGTTCCCCACTGCTGGGTCCCAACGAACTGTCAGAGTGCTACTGGTTGGATCCGTAACTTTCAGGTTCTTCACTCCACCCAAAGGATCTAAGGAAGAGGAGTGGATCTAGTAGTACCTCACAAGATCCAACAGTTTCTAAAGCAAAACTGATGTGACACCAGTTTTGCTCTGCTGGCCCAGGGGTTTGAGTTGGGCCCAGCTTCTGGTAATTATCCTGATCACATAACCACAATGTTAAAACAAACATGCTTTTGAACCCATTGCACTCACTAGTCTTTCCATTTTCAGAGAGCGGTTTTCCCTCCATCTCGGGGTAGACTGGAACCACGGTGATGGTGTACTCCGTGTCTGCTTCCAGGTCCTTCAGAACGGTGCTGGTGCTGGTTCCAGGAACTTGGTCCTTGTAGCAAGAAAAGGATACATTTTCAAGAATGGCAATGGGGTTAGAAAGACTGCAGATGTTGGACCCAGCTGTTTCAGACGTTGTTTAATCGATGAAAGATTGTTTTCTCCTTGAAAAAAACTTGTTTCTGCTAATGAGCGTTTAGGAGCCAGCTTGTAGAAACAACCAAAATCTGAACCTGAACATGTTTCCTATAAAATCCTGAAACAGACTAACAGGCAGGAGCTCCAGAAGCAATCTGCTGGACCCCTCGTGCACATCAAGTGCAGAATGGATGCAGACCTGAACCCGTGTGGCTTCCACATGGATTGTCATGTATACCAACTATGGGTCATGTGTGGAATATCTCTGGAAAGTTTCTAGTGAGTTCACGTGACAACAACTACGAATATTGAACCAACAATTTTGGATTAAACAATCTTCTATATAGCACCTCTCAAGGTAAAAATTATGAGATGCTTCACAAGAACAAAAATCAATCCATCCATTCTCTTCGGCTTATCTGGATTCAGGTCACAGAGGCCCAGACTTCCCTCTCCCCAGCCACTTGGGCCAGCTCCTCCGGGGGAATCCCAAGGCGTTCCCTGGCCAGGTGAGAGACATAGTCCCTCCGCCGTGTCCTGGGTCTACCTTTAGGTCTCCTCCCGGTTGGATGTACCCAGAAAACCTCACCAGGGAGGCATCCTGACCAGATGCCCGAGCCACCTCAACTGGCTCCTCTTGATGTGGAGGAGCAGCGGGTCTACTCCAAGCCCCTCCCAGATGACAGAGCTTCTCACCCTATCTCTAAGGGAGAGCCCAGCCACTCTTCGGAGAAAACTCATTTTGGCCGCTTGTATCCGTGATCTCGTTCTTTCGGTCACTACCCAAAGCTCCTGACCATAGGCAAGGGTAGGAATGTTGGTCGACCGGTAAATCGAGAGCTTCACTTTCTGACTCAACTCTCTCTTCACCACGACAGACCGGTACAACGTCCTCATCACTGCAGACTAAGGATGGAGAGATTCAACGATTTGAACCAGTGATTCATTCATTATGTTAGCTATGTGAGCACCAGTAGTTTCAGTGTGTATCTGTCATGGTCTGATGTATTTCCCTGCTGTCACTCCCTGTCTTTTGAGTTTTCCCTCTGCAGGTGGGCGTGTCTGGAGGTGACCAAGCTGCAGCAGATCTGCTCATCAGCTGGCCAGGGGTATTTAAGCAGCTGGGAGACTCCTACACTTCGCTGGATGATTACTCTACCTGGGTACCTTCTAACAGCCACTTGTGTAACTTATTTGAGCTCTTTAACCTCTTGAGACTTAGATTTGTTTTTGGATTTTGGATTTTGAGATTTGATGTGTTTTTGGATGTTGGATTTTTGCCTTTTGACCTCTTGCTCTTGTCACCAGATCAAACCTCCACCTTCATCCCCGACTGGCTATTCTCTGGAACTCCTACCTTTTTGTCTCTCAGCTTCTCCCTGGCCAGAACCACCTCCAGCTGCCCACCTAAGCTTCCTGGATCTCCACCAACTCAGCTCCCTCCACGTCTCCCCTTCTGGATCTCAATTTTCAGGAATCCCCTCTCAGCCCAGACCGGACCACTCCTCCCTCGAGCTACTTTTCCCCCTCTCCAGACTGTAAGTTCCCCACACAATTCCGATTCCTTGTTTTCCCCTTTGAGTTGGATCTGACTCCCATCTGTCCACAGATTTCCCGCACGGGCTCCCTTGGTGACAGAACTCAGCTACGTTCAAGCTGCTCCCTTGGTTTCCTTTTAATAAATTCTTATTTAAAACACCTACCCCGTCTCAAGCTGATTCTGTATGTCGTGGGTTAGACATCTACACCACAACATGACAGAATCAGTTCCAACTGACAGCTATATTGCAACGTACCTTTCCATGTGTGTATCTCGTCGGTAAAAACCATGGTTACAATGATTAGTTCTTAGTTTACCTGCTATGTCTCATTTTTTTGGAGGCTCATTGGACGCATCATCTCTTCCAGCAAAAGCCAGCCACAGTGGAAACCTATTGAGACAATTTAACCGATGTACGTGCTTCCTGTCTCAAATTGCCTAAATAAAATTTACTTCTCTGTCTCTGGTTTCTGCAGCAGCTTATTTTTTGTGTTAATAGGGAAATTGTACTGATGCATGTTTGCGCATTTGCCGTGAGTAGTTCTGGTACTTTTTGGGTTGCAGAGCCGCTTCAACGGTGTGATAGCCTCAGGAGGAACGAACAAAATATCAAAAGCCAGAAATTCGTACAAACTTACGATTGCTGATGGGTAGCTGGTCACGTGGTGTTAATCGCCTCTCGTAACCCCCTGTATACTACGCAACGCTCCGCTCAAAACTCGCCCCGATCTGGTAGATTCTCGCACAAGGGGAAAATCGGCTCAAAAACGTGAAAAGGTCGTTCAGTGTACGTCTGGCTTTCCTGTCTGCAATGCGGATCAAGCTCTGACACCGGTCATACAGGAACCTAACAGCCCGTATCAGAGGGCCTGGTACCTCATACTCCAGAAGTACCCCACAGGGCCCCCTGAGGCCCGCGGTAGAACACCTTCTCCAAATCCACAAAACACGTGTAGATCGGTTGGGCGAACTCCCACACACCCTCCAGGAAACCCTAAGGGTGAAGAGCTGGTCCAGCGCTCCACGGCCAGGACGAAAACCACATTGTTCCTTCTTAAAATGAGGTTCGTTAATCCGACGGACCCTCTTCTCCAGAACCCTGAATAGACCTCACCAGGAAGGCTCTGTAGTTGGAACACACCCTGCGGTCCCCATTTTTAAATTAGGGGACCACCACCCCGGTCTGCCAGTCCAGTGGGACTGCCCCTGATATTGCAGAGCTGTGTCAGCTAACACAGCCCAACATCATCCAGTGCCTTAAGAAACTGCAGGTGGATCTCATCCACCCCGGGGGCCTTGCCACCGAGCAGCCTCAGCACCAGAGAGCGGAGAACCCGACTCAAAGTCCCCAGGCTCCACTTCCTCACTGGGAGACATACCAGTGGGATTGGGGGGGTCTTTGAAATATTCTGCCCACC